GTTTCGCTGATTCCGAGTACTGCCAAGTTGTATCTCCTCATTTCCATTGCTATTTGGTTGGTCTTTCCTATCTCCACATTATCCAGACGTTCCATGTACCTCTAAAGAGCGTTGATCTGGTTGTTAGAAGGTGCATCGGTCTCGTGACTTCCGAAGAATTTCGGCTTTCATCATGAGACGTCATAATTATTCCTTCAACTCGGAGGACAGAGTTTAAATGGTTTGAATGATTTTTTTATGGTTAGCGTTTTTTTAGCGAGTTAGCTTCTCTACGGGATGGGGTCGCTAACCCCATACCCAACCCTCCTTCTTTACTTGGGCATGGGACTGGCAGTAACTCTAGAAGATCTACAGGCGGAGTTGGAGTAAGACACAAACACCAAATTCCACTTACGTGATATAAGCAAAAAACGTTTTAGTACCTTTACAAATATCATTTGATCAGGAGTAACTAACCCTTTTTACGTAGTAATCATTGCTATATTATTCATTTCTATAAGTCAATCAGAAGGTAGCAGATGGTTGAGAAGAGGTCTGATGAGATTGAAGTTCAGTTCTCAATGAGAGATTACTTATATTTGATTAAATTTCATAAAATCGATTGGTACTACTGATGATTGTTAATATATTATGTTAGTATATGTTCTATTTGCAACTGAGTTAACATAAGTTTTGTTCTTTTAGTAGTCATGTGCTCAGTCAAAAGTGTGTTAACTAAAAAGTGTCACATTAAGAAATCAAGTTACTAGATAATTGTGGTTGTTAGTTTAAAGATATGACATTACTTGTTTAATTTTTTTTGGAATCCACATCATAAAATAAAAATGAAAAGATTTTTTTATCTTTGGCACATAAATTCAACGAGGTTGATGAGGTAAAAGCATCCTCAAACGAAACAATAAATAACCATTGTGACTAAACATATTAAGGTGATTGAATTCGATAACTTCTTTTTCTTGGAAATCATTGTCTTTTTCGCTAAAACTTGTCACTGCCCATAGGATGCGGCCTAAAAGTGATGCTGGCTTTTTTCAAACTATTGAAATCAATGATCTTCTGAAAACTTTCTTCATATCTCAAAGTAATTTTTTTGCAGGATGTTTGTACCCACAATCTCAAATGTTGGTATTAAGACTAGATAAATTTTACCTATCGTAACTACACTGAGTGTAAACGTTGACAATAATTACGAACTGGTACTGAAAGTTGAAAGTGTTATAAGGATTCGCTCTTCTCACTCATATAATGAGTTTACTGAGAGATAAGTTGATCTTCAAGACATGTTTAGTTTTACTGTCGTTGTTTTGTGAAAATAAGAATACCATAGGTGACTTTCCTAGTGTTAATGTCCTCGTTGTGTCATATTATATATAGAAACACATTTATGACTATCAATATAGAGTCCTAGTCACACTTTCTTTCAAGCATATGAAATTGAAAGGAAATCGTTTAGTAATAAGATGGATAAGAATTTTCTTAAACTTAACCAAATTCACATTTTTGTAACGTTTGCCAAAAACATAATTACAGTACCAGAGTTATATGTGTCGCTCGAATCTATTAACCCGTGTGCTGAATATTAATGATAGTATAGAATGATTAACTTTTCTGCTTCTGAATATTTGCTGTCCTTAATCTTTAAATAACCAAGAAGAAAATACAATTAATTATAAATGGACTATAGTTATTGATAAGATTGAACAAAATCGATTAGACGATAAACAAACTTCAAACTATTTGACAGTCAGGAAAAATGATATAATTATAAGTTATTTTTGGTTCATTGCTTACATGTTTCTAGTGGGGGTCTAGATGAGATCAGTTAGTGGTGTATACATTGACAATTTTATCAGCTCTACAGATCCACTTTACTAGAAATCAAACATGTAAGCTTAGATTTAATTGTTGTGACAGAAAGATTTCCCTCAATTACTTCCAAAGTTTGTATTTAATGAAATGTTAATTTTCAGTTGCATTGATGTCTAAGTAACTAAGAGTAAACTGAATTGCGTTTCATAAAAAAACAAGACATATAGGGATAAGTAATTGTATCTTGATTTAAAAACATTAACTAATGTATTTTAGCTAACAACTTGTTCTCTGTTTATTTAACAGTCATAATGAAATACCAGAGACTAATCAAAAACATTTTCAAGCAGATGAACGTAGGAATTTACAGATTAGACATTACGGTCTTTCTCTTTATCTCTCCCACGATTGATAGAGATATCTTAGATAAAAGAAGGAAACGTGAAATTTCACATCAAAAGAATTCACTCATGTCTGTCGTTGGAAATGGAACAAAAAGTAGTAACATTAAAATTTGTAAAATTATTTTCGTTCTTAATCATGAAACAAAATAGTAGAAATGTTGAAAATACTGCTAACACTATCGATTACGATACTATGCTTCATCTATCTTCTTAAAGGGAACAAGATTTACGATATAGTAGATAGATTTATACAGATTAGTGGGCAAAGATTTTTAAGTTGAATAAACTAATACTGTAGTTCAAATACATGATGCTGTGTAGTATAAATCTGTCTAATCTAATCACAGCTAAGTAACAGTAAAATAAACAGTTGAATAAAATTCATATTTTACCCAGTAAATTGAATTTATCTACATCCAAATTTTTCATACAATCTAGTCTCTATATTGGATGCTTTTAGGTCAAATTTTATTATTACAAATTTCATCCTTATAGTTATTAATGCTCGTAAACAAAGTATCTTTATCCGTATTTGAACCCAAACACTAGTCTATAACTTTAATAGCTAAGTTGGATTCATGTGTTACGATCAAATAGTTATCGACGAACAAAAATTCTCTGAAATTACTTACAAATTCTCAAACAAATGAGTTTATTTCCTCTCGAGTAACGTAAAACCAAAGTGTTTACTTATAGTTTCAGTATTTTGTAGCATTTAAAAGAACAAATATGAATTCTGTAAAACAAAAGATAGATGATGCCATTCAATAGAATCCAGAACGCGCGTTTCGTTCTATTTTGGGACTCGGCGACTGGATGTACTTTCATCCATCGAACTCACAACTGTTCCTTTTGTTACGCTATCGTGTATTCCAATTGATGTTTAGGGCTGCAGTTGTCCAGTTTTTTGGCTTATATCCATCCATTGTGGATTGCATAGATATTGCCTTAAGTTAAAAGCGTTGTAACTAGAGATGGATGGAGGCAAATACAGTTGACGAGTACCAAATAAGACGAAATGCGCGTCCTGGGCATCACTGCCGACCACGATCCATCTCTGTTTATAATTCTTCTGGATGAGTGGCAAGATCGAGCTAGACAACAGATCATTGTTAAAAACGATAGCAAAATAATAATCGAAACACTTGCGTGATACTAAAATAACTAAACATTCGAGCAATTATGAATGAGTTTGTAGGTATCATTACGAAATCTTGATTTGATAATTTTGAATAAATTGAGCATTGGGTAGATTGTTTTAAATAAATTATATATTTTTAATATCCCAATAAGTAGAAAAACCAATTTGGTTATTTATTCTCTGAAGAAGTGGCTTACACTGAGTCACGAAACGTCAGAAATTCTAATTTTTCTACTCATTGAGATATTACAAACATATAATTTATTTAAATTCGAGCAATTAGTTTGTACACATGTATTAATATAGATAATATAGAGAGTGTGAAAAGTGAAATGAGCTAGGGGTGGGAAGAACAGTCAGTGTCGTCTATTTGGTCTTGGTTAAGAATGGGATAACTTTATTAACATAATCTTCTAACATGAAGACCAGACATCTTGATGTAGTTCACTTTATGAGTACGTTGGTGAGCATCTCCCTCATATTCTTAGAAAGGCTATACTCAGCTTAAATTTTTCACAGCAGGTTGTTAATAGTTGATTGGCACATAAATTTAAAGCATTCACAACATTTAAACCATCTTATTCCTCTCCATTATCTTATCGTTAGTTCGAATGAAGCATTTACATAAAATTGAGGCTGATCAATGTCCCTAATCTTTGTATTCAAAAAAAGTTACAAAACCTCTACTCTTTCTTTGGACGGTGAAGACCTTATAGTAAAATGATATTTTGAAGTGAGCTTAGTGTTCAAGAATCCATTAATCGTTTAAGTGTTTGGTTTCTCAAGAGTTTTACAAACAGAATATCACTGTTGATTACACATTACCATTGATAAGTAGTTGGTATATCAATTATGTAAGACCTTTTAATTTCACCTTGAGTTTCAGTTCATTATTCATTATAATGAGATCAATCTCATTTTAAAAAGAAAACAAATTCTGTTTATTTTAAAATGTTGTACATTTTCTAAATGTGTTACATATCCAAAAAAAATGTTTATTTAAATTTGTGCATCACAACAATGAACAACCAGTCCAAGTAATTTATATTGTTATAGTTTACTCAATTCAAATTATTGATTACCCACATTGTCTATTACAGTGCAGCTCCTTATTTTGTGTTACCTATTGATTTTTGAACATTAAATATGTACAATGGTGAATTCATGAAACCAAAATGTACTGAATAAATTAATCGATACAGTCACAGGTCAAATCTGAACACAATGATCAAATTATGTAGTGCATAATAATTGGTCCAGAATTATTGAGATATGCAAACATTTTTAGTTCCATTTAATTTACTATTTCTATGAGTCACGTACTCTAGTGTATGTAATTAACGTTTAGTCTATTTATTTATGCAATGATATACATCATTCCAAATATGTACATATATATGTGGAAATATGCATAGAAATGACTTTTGGATGAACTGACAGACGGTAAAGTTTATCAAAAATAAATTTTTTAAAAAAAGTAATAGAACTTATTTCAATATCGGTAACTTTAACTTAAACACCTTTACTTTAATTCACTGAAAAGTGAAAGAATTTCTACCTAATTATAAACAATATACATATGAACTACAATCTTCTAATTGAATTACTACCTTTCTTGTTTTCATAAATTCTATGACATATATGTTATATATATATATATATATATATCTATTCTATTGAAATACTTGAAGTATAACCATTGGTTACAACATTAGTGATATTTAGTCAAATAAACCCACTAATTATTTTGATTCTTTCTTGTATTAGTAACAATAATATACTCAGTCACTACATTAATATATAAATACTCACATTTGAAATATATATATATCTTACTTACATTTCAGTCTGTACTTATCAGAGACAGTACAGTTATCATAGTAAACTTTAACCATTATTACATTATGTCACGTAAATCAATTAAAAAGAGTACATTAAGTAGTTCTGTACCATCATTAATTGGAAAAGATTATGATTTACATGAACCAATTTATTTTAAATGTCGTGGAAAATTATTTTTACAAAAAACATTAAAACCTAATGAAGAATTTGATAAAGAAATAATGAAAAAATTAGTTAATATTAAGAAAATAGTACAACCACAAGAACGTATAATTTATCTTACAGAGAATGGTTTAAGAATTAAAGCATATAAAAATTCATCTAATTTTTATACACGTATATTTTTAAAATATGATCAAATTGAAACAATTTACATATCCGAAGGAAAAAAATCTATACTTGTTTTGGGTATTAATAGTAAAGATAAAAAAATACGGGCTTATGAATGTACAAGATTTAAAGATAGAGATGAATTCAAGGAGCTATGTAATTTACTTGTTCAAGCATGTGAAAATAATGAAAGAAAATTAATTCATCTTAATCGAATTGGTACATTATCAATGTCATCATTATATGATAGTATGAAATCTAATCGTGGATCACTTGGTTCAATTGTTTGGACATTATCAGGTGAAAGTGATAATGAATTTCAAAAACAACTAGAAGATCATAAATATCAAAATGATTTAAAAGAAAATGAAAATGATGTTCGTAAAGTTATAACACAATATTCTAAACAAAGTTCAGTAACTAGTATTATTTCATCAAATCTGAGAAATGAAAAGGGAACTGTTAACAGTATGAATAGTGAAATTGAGATAAGTGACTCAGAAGACAGTGATTCAGTGCACCTTTATAATGGAGTAAACAGTGGTTTTAAGGAGGTAACCTATGAAGATGATGATCATTATTATGCTTCAGAGATTTACAAAGAGGACGATTTTAAGGAACCTATACTTACGCCAATATTTCATGCAGATGATGAAACAGCAAAACTATATTACAGAACAAGTTATGATAGTCATTCGCTTGAGGAAAATTATGAAAAGACAGATTTGTATCCACCATCTGAGTGGCCAGCTGGGGTTACCTTTATTTGTCCAGATGCAAAATCTGGTGCAACTATCACACATCTTGGACCCGTTTATTTATACTCTGAAAGATTTGTCGATGTTAACAGCGATTGTATTGAGAAACAGACAGCAACCTAACACTATAATTTGATGAAACATAAAACGATTACTTAATTATTCGTGTTGTGTTTTGAAATATAGCTTTTAAATTTGGACAGTATTTAGATTTTATCGCTAATTTATTTAGAAGTTTCAAGCTATACGTTCAAATCTTATGAAATATTATTGAGTGTTGTGAACTTAGTAAGTCATAATCTAACTTTGTGGGCCTACGTCAATTAAATTACTTTTAAGTTTTTCGGCAGAGATTTTAGCTTTAAGCAACTTTCTCCGATTAAAAATGGTGTTTTCAGGTGGGACATTGGGTGCTAATTTTTCAGCTTTATAAATATGTCATATTTTGAAAAGAATAATTGCAGAAATTGTATTCAGTTGATGATAAGTAAAGTCCCTATTCGGATATAAAACACTTCATAAAACATCGATGTGAACATTACCAACGGACGTTAGAGAAACAATCATTTTTAAAATTGGCCTGCTATTTTTTTAATGTTAAGTTAAATAACAAGAAACGTATTCGAATAACTTCACATTCCATTTTAAAAGGGTAGTTACTTTGACAATCAATAGCATTGAGATTGAAATCGTTTTCTACGCGCGACAATGTAATAACTTTAGCAAGTTTACTTTTTTCTAAGCTCTAAATACTATGCTAGACTTAACTTGAAAACCATAGATATGCAATGAATTATTTTCGGTTTATACTTCAACTTAAGCTCCCTATTTTTATACAGGAATACACTTCGGTATGTAGTTTCATCCAGTATGATGATGAGATTCATAAATCACTACTATAATTATTGATTGATTTATATAAACTGGAAATATATCAAAGCATTATATTCCGTAAACTCTAGATGTAATTTTTCTTGCGTTCTGAAAGCGATGGTCAGATTCGGTCAGTGTTTTTAACAACGATAAGTAAATCAGAGTTTAAATGATTCCCTACTCCCCTATTATATTATGATAGCTTAATCTGCACGTCAGAAATGTCGAAACACTAAATTTTATTTATTTTTGCTTATAAGGGGTGTGAAACCGATTTTCGGTAGAAATATCCAGTAATAAAATAAGTGTGAAGAAGAAATCATTCAATCTAATTCATCACTGAAAATATATCGTTCTATGTAGTTTACTGCTTGTGAACTTTATAACCTAAAACTCTCCAAGGGAAATAATGTTTAAATATTCACTAATATGTCCTAATAACAGAGTAATTTTATTAATGTCCTGACCTACTTGTTGTCGAAAAGTTATGGTAGCTAATTCATATATAATCTCACAGTTCTAAATTCTACAATCAAAGATAAATATGAATCCCTGAATAAAATAGGTAAACAGTTTGGATTTTTACGTGGCTTTATTAAATTACAAATCTATTATATCACAAATTAAGATACAAATAATAAATTAAAGATATTACTACTTATAAATAATATCAGGCAATAATCTTATTGTGAAAGATAATTCCTCAACATAAGCAATGTATGGTTATAATCAGCAAGCGGTTTTAAGGAGATTATAATAACTTAATGGTCGAATTCATGAGTCAATTAAAACCAGATCACTATGGAAAGCGTGGAAGCACTAGAAAGTCGTTTCGTACTAGTATGGGACTGCTCAGCAGTGCTCATCCACTATCCCACATGCTGGATTTTAACCAAGAACTTATCGGTTACTTATTTGAATAACAATAGGTTTATAATGATTTAGTAATATCGATGAGAAAAAGTAGTTTTTAAAAAATATATGAATCTCTAGTTCTTATTACGTTGAATAGTAATGAATATCCAACGAGTTATATTATTGATATTAGATTGTATAGGTTGATTGATTCTTGTTCATACTATATACCCTTCTAGATTTTATCATTCTCCTATTTTGATTTAAAAAAAAAACACAAAGTGAATAAAAATATTATCATAACATATAGTTGACCTAGTATTGTCTATTTTGATTGTATCAGAATATGTTTCTGATGATTTCGTTACACTTTTTTTATATTTCGAAAGATTATTGTAAGAAAACTGAACTATGTAACCATAATTTTGTTTACATTAATGTAAAAATGTCATAATATGGATTGTTTCAAGATGACTTTTTGTCAATTATGTAATTGACAACATGGAATTACATTCTTATAGATTATTGTATTTTGTCCAACTTAGATCATGTGTTTTATAGTATAATGTAGTGACAAGAACGAACTATAAGTATTATTGAACTATACAGATAATAAACATTACTTTCAGTATTGTACCAATAACATGGATTACATAGTTTGATCACAGTAACATAATTTCAAACATATTGATATTCTATATTTTAAACGAGAGTCAACTTTTACCGCTGAGATAAATAAATATTTATTAATTCTTATTGTTTTATATATGGTTACTAGACTTTTTTGAAAGAAAAATGCTATAAAATAAGTCTGTTAACTTGTTTCCGACCAATAGGAAAGTTTTTTTTCGAATAAACATTGTTATCCAGTGGGCGAGCTATGCTCTTCCACGACGGGTAAAAAGTGTAAGTATAAAGTAAGCAATTATTATCCAGTGTTAACAGGATTCTTCTATGTGATTTGATTCTCTCAGTAATTTTCAAAATTTACATTAATCTTGTTTAGAAATAGTTGACAAATATAGTTCGTTGATAAGCAAAGATGGATAGTGACAAGCAGTGGAATCCAGGATGTTAAGTGAATTTTGATGTATTTTGAGGGAAATTTAACCACTTTAGATACAACTGTTAAGTTAGTTACTTGAATAAAGCAGAGTATAGTTTACGACTACGACACTCGAACGCTGATCCGTCACAAATCAGAAGACAGAAGAAAAGCGGAAGTGTTTATTTGGTAAGAATTGATATGTACAAAAAATCATGGGTATTTATAGATATTAGAGTTTGTTAAATCAACATTATGATTCGGCCGATCCCCTAAGAGACATGTTATGCTACTGTCCAATAGTAGCATATCACGTTGATATTCTAGAAAGCTCCATCATGTTCAGATCGGATGGAAACTCTTCGGCTTCTTTAGGGCCTCTGGAGGCTCCACAGTAGTTCTCGAAAGCCAACTCAACCACAACAATATATGGTGATGAATTTGATTTAATTAAATATTTTTAGTAGGGATATTCCAATTTATAAGTATATAGTCTTTTATAAACGGGTTGATATAAGGTTGATAATGAATAATATGTGTACGGTGAAAAGTTAAAAGATAGAAAAAAAGCATTACTTTCTTATAACAACTGAGCTACCGTTTGAAAGTAAATAAGAAGACTGAGAAATCATCACATCATAAATTGTTCGAGGCAAACAACAATAGAATATGCCTGAAATAAAATAATGAACTTAATAAATGAAACCCATTCTAGTAATGTTTGATATAATTTACTGACCTTAATCCGACAGCGACCTGAGACCAAGAGGAATAAGACAGTTTGTTTTTAGCATTGGACTCCTCAGCTAAGTGCATTCATGACTAAAGTGATGATCTAACAGAGAACAGTTAGGTCTCAGAGTATATACCTTCCTATCAGATCGTTGGAATAGTATATAATATAAATTCAACAGATTAGTGATATTTGTGATCGTCAACGATATCTGTGAGTGATAAGTTTCACTCACTCCATAGTCGAAATTCTCAACAGAACTAGGGGAATTACACTTCAAAGTTAGCCATTAGTAAGAATACAGTGTTTCTCATTATACGGAATTGTTGAAATCTCCAAAGAGGTCATGGATGGGCATTGTGAGACAGTAAATTATTAGGAAAAAATGACTTTCCAATGCTCTCTGCTTTTCAGAGCTAATCTAACAAAGATAATCTCATCACGTAAGTTATAAAAACGAAGGCGACTGAATGATTAAATATATTGTTTTCGAAGTTATCGTTTACTTGGGCTGTACGATCATAATTAAAAAAAAGACTTTATACAAAGTGTTCTACAATAAAATAGAGAGTAATTCTCCTTCTTCCACTTGACAAAGTTGTGAAAAAACTATCAAGGAGGTCCTACTCACTACCTTCTCGTGGCGTGGGTGATGTCTACGAACTGGAGAGGACAGAAATCAGATGTTGGGTGCTTTACCCGGGTCGGTAGAAACGGACAGTCTACCTAGGGGAGTTGGAAAACCCTGATTCCAAACCAATGTTTCACACGGGCTCTAGTATCCTGAAGGCACTAATAGCGTTTGAACCAATTGTTGCTCTCTGGCTACTATGGAAGTGCATCTCCTTACGTTGCTTCACTGCCTTGTGGATCAGACCTTTAGTTCGAAGGTTCCGGGTGCGGCTCTTTAAGAAAACCACCTGTTTCAGTTCGGGCACCCAGGCAGTATCACAGTCCTCACACAAATGAAGTGACTTGTGTGACGCATATGTATCCGGTGCCCCTTTGTATCAATATTTATGTGTTCAAAGAAAAAAAAGAATAAATATCAAACGACTTCAACTATCAAATACAAGTCAAGTAATAGTGCTCAGAACGACGATGAATAAAAATTTATAAATGAATTGGGAAGGATATCTGTCTATTTAACGACTATATAAAAGATGAAGAATAGATGAACAAGTAATAATAACCTATAAAATTAGCACAGGTGCTAAGGCGATGGTCGAATAAGATAACGAACACGTTTCTTCTCAACACTGAAATCATGTATTAGTTGGTCAACTACCTTAGCCTTATCCATGGATAAATGATTTATTTGGACTCTTTTCGATTTCATGACCAGTCACGACAAACATCGCCTTTGTATTAAATGATTGAGTTGTTGTCTGACCTGTATCAACCCTTCATATACATAAGTAAGGCAGTTCTTCCATATATGTTCGGAAAATTCACCTCAATATAAGCTGCCTCAGCAGAACGTGTGATTTTCCCAAGAACAGTAGTTTATGTTTGATACTTTGCAGATTAATATGCGTATTTGGTGAAACAATCAGCAGCTCTATTGAATAAAGAGTTCAACTTGAAGAATTTCATTAAGCATATTTTTCCATAGATTCAAATGTCATGAGTCTTTAACTGACCTACCATTTTTTAAAACAACTTTAATCCACTGCTTTGTTACTACTTACCATGTACATTTAGTACAGCTCTGAAAAAATTTCATTTTAAATTCTATTCAAATCATTCAATCTATAAGAATAATAATTAGTTATTCCGATATTATTGTATATTTTTGCTAAAATCAGTGTCCACAAAAGTTTATCGGATGATGAATGAGTTATTTAAAATGAAATTTATCAGCTTAGAATTTGCAAAGTATTAAAAATTCTTATATCTAATAAGAATTCACTTGGTATTGTTTGTTTGAAACTTCTCATTGATGTTTGGGATTGCAATTGATCAGTTTTGGCATTCGTGCAAACTGCCTCGACATTACCTGAAGTCACAAGCATTGTAAGCAAAGATGGATAGTGATTAGCAGAGGAATCCAGGACGCGCGTTTCGTCGTATTTGGGAATCGTCAGCTGGATGCGCCTGCATCTCAGAGTTGATGTTCACTCTGGGACTCATTATATCATTATATCTAGTGTTTTTTAAGACAAGTTCTAATAAACAACTTATTAAAATTGTTTATTTCTTCATTTTGTTAAAGTGAATTCACTCATTAAATTTATCACTTTTTTCAGAACTATCAAGAGTAATTCGTTAAACCTAAGTTATGGTGATATATTATTACTTTGTATCGAAAAAAAAATAGGTGATACCTCTGTTCTATTAGTTATAATAAAATGCTTACACTGAAATAAAAGCTTTAACTAATGTGCGATTAACATATATTGTAGTAAACAAGAACTTTCGTCTTAATTAGACCAATGAGTTTCACAGTATTTGAGTGCCGAGTTTACGTAAGACATTAAATAGGAATAATATATTTGTAAAATCTCAGTAAATGAATTTGAAGTAAATCCAACTTTTCGCCTAGCAATCTGGTCCAAGCTTTTTCAAGAACCAGAATGCCTGGCGAAACGTCGGATTTACTTCAAATTCATTCGCTGAGATTCTACAAATATATTTTTCCTATTTAATGTCTATACCGTAGTAAAATTTAAATTTACACAACTACTTATAGTCATCTTTAAATTGAATAGATAAGGTTAGATCAATATAGAATAGAGAGGTCAAGAATTAATAAAGTAAAATTATATTGTGTAAATTTACTGACCACGATATTTTACACAAATCTACGTTACATAATCAACAATTACTTCATTATTATCAGAAGGGGTTTTAAGAAGATTTAGTTTTTTTTCATAGTTGAAAGCGTGAGTCAATTGAAGCTAGACCACCATAGGAAACCTGGAAGCACTGGACGGACATTTCATCCTATTATGAGACTCCTCAGCAGTGCGCATCCACGATCTCGCACTCGCGAGATTCGAACGGAGACGAAACGTCCGTCCAGTGCTTTCAGGTTTTCCATGGTGGTCTAGATTCAATTGACTCACGCTTTCAACTATGAAAAAAATTACTTCATTAGAAAATGTAAATACATTATTTGTCAAGCAATGAAATGTAATGAAGATGTTTTCCTCTTCACTGAAATAAGAAAACTCCCAAAACATTAAGATATGATGAGTTAAATGCATCATGATCAATCGAATTTTCAGTATAAAATCACTATCTAATTATTAGACGCAAGATACTTTTATTCAGTATCATTCATATAAAAACATCGAAACATTGAATTATCAAGATTTAAATTATAATAATAAGTAGTAATAGCTGATAATATTGTAGTGAACAAAACATTACTTGGGACAATGGAATGTTTGTAAGCACAACGTTGTAGACTATCTCACTAAATTCTGATAACCATACAAGAAACAAATAATTTACAAAATAACCATCAATTGTCTCAATCTTTACTGTTCCTTCTGTAAATATCAATCCATCTTCTCTAATTTCATTGTTCATGCATCCTCCTACCGATTGCTCTACAATTCAGTTTTTTCCTTATCAGTCTTCTGCCAAAATAAATCACCATCTACTACTTACATGGATATAAGTAAACCATACTAAAATATCAGTGTAACAGAATTACATTTATTCACTCAGATATTAACGGAATTACATACTTGGATACATATGCATATCATAATTGTTTACAGGTTCAGAGCACAACAAGTTGTAAGTTTTTAAAAACAAATTTATTTATTTAAATATATAATACACATACATTTTTTAGTAAACTGTTTTTATGTAAAACTTTTGAAAAAAACAAACATTTTATACTCAAAAAAAAGCGTTACCATCCATTTCACAAAACAAAACTTCATCAAAAGTATTACTCTTTTTTTTTGTGTGTGTGTGTGTGTGACATCAATTAGTATCTATTCATAGATGTTTCAATAACTGTATCATTTAATTGATTTTTTTTATTTTTAATTTCATCAACTTCATCAAGAGGTTCTCGTAAATCATTCATACATATTCGTCCAAGTCTTTTACTACGTATAGATTCATATTTAAAATTATTTATAATTAATTGACCAATTATAGGCATATTTGTTAAAATTTTTAATGAATTTTCAAAAATTTGATTAAATATTATTTGTATTTTATAATGATCATCATTATTTTTAATATAATAATATTGATAATTTTTTTGTTTACCATTTGGTGATATAATACCTAATATTAATAAATGTTTCATATATGGTGTAAAATAATAAATTTCAATTTGTTTATAATATAATGTATAACGTTTATAACGATTAGTATTAGTAATATAACGTTTTATACGTATACAATCTTTACAAAATAATAAATATAATCGAATAGAACAAATAGGTTTAATTTTATCAATTTCTTGTTCTGCTATATTTCTATCAAATAATTGTAATTGATTATTAATTTTTTTAATTTTTAAATTATGTATTAAATAACCATAACATAAATGATAAATTGATTCAATATAATTTGTTGATTGATTAATTGATGATTGATTTATTGATGATTGATTTATAATTTCTTTGGTTATCATTATGGTTTAATTGTTTTGTTTGTTTGTTTTTAAAATGGATAAATCAGTAGTATATATAGAGGGGAGATAAATATTTATTAAGTAATACAGTCTCAATTTGAAGTGATTAAATAAATCGTTTTATTTTTAAATATATATATCTTACTTTTTTTTCTTTATTCTTTTTATTTCTTTTTAATTATCTGATTCGTTAATTAAATAAACACTTAAATATTTTAAAAAATATTGATTTAATGTTTTTCAGTTTTATTTTTTTTTTACAAAATTATTACATGACGAAGTTGTGTGCATGTGTGTACATATATAGAAATTTTATAGAAAATTCACATAAAACAGATTGTACTTTCCTTTTTTTCATTTTGATTGATTTCTTATAATCAATAATGAATTATGTGTATCTATCTGTAAGTATATGTGATGGCTATCAGGACTCTAGAGCTAAGCGGATAACAAAATAGCGTTTGAAACGGACGGTACTGGATTCGATTCCTAGAGTGAACATTAATTTTGAGAGGCAGTTACATTCAGCTGATGAGTTCCAAATAAAACGAAACGTGAGTCCTTGATTTCACTGCTAAAAACTATCCATCTATGCATATAAAGCTTGTGACTTCAGGTCATATCGAGGCAGTCTGCACAGGATGCACATATGCCACTGATTTTTTGAATGATAATTTATAAACAACTTTTTCTATTGCAATTATTCAAGAATGAACTAAAGGTAATTAAATAGAACTTCATTTTTTTAGTATCATGCGAGTTTATCTTTCAATTTACCATTGTAATAGTCTTTTCATCCTAATAGAAATAATATGTCTATTTTCTAGTTTATAAATGTACCTACATCTCAGAGTTGATGTTCACTTTGAATTCTACCACTAGCTATTATCTATCTTTGCTTAAAATGCTTGTAACTTCAGGTCATATCGAGGCATTCTGCACAGAATGCACATATGCCAATAAGAGACTGATCGATTACAGTTCTAAATAACAATGGAAAGATACAAGTGAACAACACCATGTGTATGTGATTATACGTTTCAGAAATTAAAATATAATTATATAAATAAAGAATATCCTTACTTTTTTCTTGCGATTTTTTCTCTTCAGATTGTACAATTATCTATCCAAATTTAATAATCCACTGAGGGCCCAAATTTAAGGCAAGATATATGGTTTAAAGTTATACCATATGAATTAAGAAGTGTTTATAATCAGAAACCATTAATGTTAAAAAAACTAATATGAAATATTGACTTGAATAAGTTTACGTTTTAAATGAAATTCTGATATGTAATGATCAGTTCTAATTTATATTTCTAAGTAATTATATCAAGTAAAACATCAGGATCGTTGAAAGTAATAGTCATTTTGTTTAAATTGATTCAGTATTTATTAAATTAATAAGCAAGTGAATTGTAAAAAACAAAAGCATTTGAAAATGTCCAGCTAAATCTCATTGATCGCATCTGGAAAGAAAAAAAACAACAACATAGAGTAAATGTATTGAATGTACTGTGAGTTGTAAAATGGATTATCTGATTTACCTCTGCTATTGATTTCTAAACTACTCTGAAAGATTATGTTTACTGAGGTAAAAAAAGGGACAATTCAGTTATAAATTTGAATTTATTATTGCAATAAATTATTGCGCTTTTCCTAATCAAATAGACATATCGAATTTTTAAAAACATAACATTACCAGAAATTATGAACTTTCTTTAATGTTAGCGTATTGTCTTTAAACCAGTAGAACGCACCTTCTAACTCAGCTTCGCGTATATCCGTTACAGCTGGCACGTGGTACTAGTAAACCTAACATAAAGTTTGTATCTAAAAATCGAGCTCATAAACTGTATTGGTTAATGGATTTTTACTGCTACCTATGGTGATTTAAACGGAGTATGCTAGAGTTCTTTCCTAGTATTTTATGAAAACGTGTTTTGTTTTAAATTTATTTTTTACTCTCAATAATAATAACCGTAGCGTACACTCGCAAACTGATGGGATATAAACATACTCTATACTGATGTAGTACAGTTCAGTTTTTATAACAACTATTGTTATTAACAGTGCAAAAACAAACTGAAATGACCTTAAATGAGAAGTATATCAATGAAATGTTTTATATATCTTCATACGCAATGCCTACTTGTAAAATAAATCTCTCGTTTTGACCTGAGTGCATTTAAAAATGCAAACCACTTCACAACTATTTTTCAGTTTGAATATTTTTTGAGCTTTTCCTTAAACTTGATTGTCATGGGCTTGATCCTTGGTTGGTCGTGAAGCTATACTTCTGTGCAGTCAAATACTAGGACGTAGCAGATGTCCACTGCTTTCTGCTTATCAGTAACATCATAGCCTAATTTAACTTGTAATGAAATTCATTGGTAAATGCTTTGTAATAATGCATATACTAAAGCAGTATACAAAGTGTTTGACCAGTAGTTTAACGTAAGTAAACCTTTTTGAATGTCAATGAAGCAAATGTATTTAATGCATGTACTAATTTATTCCTAGTGACGTAAGTAAACTGTTTCATTGGTATCGGTTTTCATCCGTTATTAAAGACGATTGGCGATTCGAACATTGTGTTGGTAATAAATAAATTCGATATATATACATATAAATGATGGGAATGTATGTTCTGTGACAATCGCAGACCTCGGACAATCCCAGACTTGCATCATAAGGCAATTATTCTTATACGTATTCGTTTCCTAATCTGTAACCCTTGTCTTCATGCAAAACGGTTTTTCATCAATAGCTGGCCTTTTGTCACATCTGTGTTTAATTCACCATTAGTTTGAAGAAGACTTTAGTTATGAATTAATATTACCTAGAAAGTAAATGAAACTCAAAAAGTACTTTTCAATGAATTAACACATTAAATGTCACAAAATAATATCTGGATGGTTTCAAAAGACCTTCATCGAAATGAAAACTATAGTATTTAATGATAACCAAATCACTAATGAAGTAGGTGATCAGGGAACAAATCTGGCAACAGCTATGGTATTAATGTTGAATATATCAAGTATTGGATAAAACCTTTCTTTTTCTACAACTTTGTATTACAAAATCATATCTAAATTCCCTGGATTGTTATACTGTTTAAAGTAGTGGGTAGGCAATCAAGAGGAGAGCTTAACTACTAAGTGATAACTTCTAATATTGTGCGGCTTCCGCCAGAATTTTACGCTGTGTATTTTCATGATGAATACATTGTTCAGCCTACACAGAAAAGCCATAACATCATTTACAATCAGTTACACTACTATTCTCAAATGAAAATCTTTGAAACGTTTAGTTTTGCTTTGTGCACATAAAGTTACTTTTAATTTAAATAAAGTACACAATAACTATGTTCATGTAACAGGTCTATACAAAAAAGACTACTTTAGATTGGAACATATAATTGAGTTAAACAGATTCCATTGAAATTTAACAAATTTTCATAGATACAAATTATACATTAGTTCTAAGGGTTTAATTGAAATAAAGTATAGGTACACATACTGTCTGCTCACGTCCATATAAATAAATATATAGAATCTCCATGTTCACCTTGAGCATTTTTATCTAATGGTATACAAACTAATTAAGACTATCTATATTACATTGTTTAAATGTCAACTAGATATAGGGTGATTCCAAATTTTTGGTTATAATTAAAAAAATATCAGGAATTTTTAATTAGCCATCATTATTAGCATTAGTATTAGTGTTTTGATCTGATGGTCAAATAGTATTTTCTTTTGTTAATAAAATGAATGCTGAACAAAAGATTCAGAATTCAGTTTATTCTGTTTATAATAACATCTAGTGATTTTGAGATGGTGAAGAAGATTTGTAGCTCAGATGAGTGATTTTGATGGAGTTTTGTTCTCTGAGCTGGATGGTTTGGTCGTGGATCTTTCATCATCAAAACAAGCACTTCACTTCTACCCGAAGTTTGTGGTAAAATTTGCATTTTGATATAGTGGCTACTCACTAGTAATCGATGTACAGAAGCATAAATCTAGTTTTTGCTAAGCTTAGTTGACCAACAAGTATTTCAAAATTTATTTTTGAGTGAATTTAAGCTGAAGTAGTAAAGATACATGTTATAACTGGTCATCAATTGTTATGGCTGCGAGAGTCAATTATTTTGTCTAGTCACAGCTGATTGTTTTGTCAGAATCGCTTATTACTTTCACTTGTAAAACAAGGAACCACTGAAATTTCCACGACGCGAAGTGAGAATGCAAAGGCTGGTACAAGTGAAGATTTATTAAACTCAAAAACAACGACGATGACCATAGTTGAAAATAAACTCATTTATATGTTGATTGTACACCCATTTTAAGTAATAATTAGGATGTAATGACATGTATGAAAAATACCTAGAGTTATAACAAATCACATGCTGTCTGTCATGCTTACCATGGTTCATGTTAATTGAACGAAAGGATATCGTATATTGAACAAACATCATAATCAAATAGATTAATGTCAATAACCAATAAAATACCACACTAGGAAACAAAGCAAATACTACACTGAGTAATTAATACATTGAAATAAAACGGAAGAAATGTTGGACAAAAGTCACAATGGGTAAAAGAATGTAATTTTACTTTTTAATCTCGTCATATCAATGTATGTTTCCTTTGCCCAGTTTGCCTATTGATTTTCACTTTTCTTAAATTATGTTCACTAGTGACTAACTTTGAGATGAGTCTTTTTGAATTTCTATTCCAATTTTGCAAAAGAAAAGTAACACGTCAACTGTACTGTAACAGTAAATCACAGAAAACAATGGTTGAAAACTTCACTATCTAATGAAATTGTGAAAGTTAAAAATGTGGACCAATATTTCTGAGTTAACCTATACAAATTTACAGTATAACTAAACGTTATTTGACTTGACGTAGTGTGAAACTTTAGATATATATTTTTAGTAAGTCTTAAACATAGTAGTAATTTATGTACAGTGACCCTCAGTTATTCATTAAAACAGTAGACATTGAAGAAATTAGTTACAGATGTAGATATGAATCTTGAAAGCATCAAATTCTGAGTGGCATAATGAACTCAAACGCTTATCTAGTTATTGATGAACTGTTCTGTCGAATTCTATTAATAGTGTTAGTTTCCTCAGGATTACAGGTA